AAATCAGGAAACAACATTGCTAATGGTTTAGCCAAATCAACTATGCAAATTGTACCACTCAATCCGGTTTAGCCGGACTATCAATGAAGTAAAACCTTTCGATAAAAAAAAAAAAAGCTATATAGCAAATTATAAAACAAATCTGCATGAAATTAACGTGAACAAAGACTACTAAAAATTACAAAGAAAACTGAAATTAAGAAAAATTTCTTTTATTTTTGTTTGTTCTAACTAAAAATGATCAATCATTATTTTATTGTAAGTTTAACCTAAAAAGTTGTCTAACTTAACGAACATAAATAGTCAAATTTGATATTTATAATCAAATACAAGTGTTTGATTATATATATAAAATTCTATTTCTATTCATTTTTATCCACAAAATAAATTTTAAAAAAACAAAGGCAGTATCAAAAAATAATTCTGTTTTAAAAATCAAAGACAAGATTTCCTACAAAAAAAAATTAAAATATTAAACTTAAAAAAACGGCAAAATGAGGATGTCATGTGTTATCTTTTTTTTGACATTTATCTTTTTTTTTTATTTATTGAAAAGAAAATAAAAATGATGTGTTTTTAATAATTTTAACAATTATTCCTATAATTTAATAGCCAAGTCTAATGTAAGTTAATTTTAAAAATTAAAGTGTAACATAAAGATGACAATTTTTAGTATAATAAGCAAATATTACTTTGCCCGTTATTATTTTTTTTTATTTTTTTGATATTTACCAAAAACTATAATTTCAAATTAAATGTGTTATTGTAAATTTTTAATGTTTTAAATTTTTCTAAAATCCACGCAACGCATGAGTAATCTCTAGTTATTCATATCGTAAAGTTTAAGCTAAAAAATTGTCTTTACTTGACGAACATAAAAAGTCAAATTTGATATTTATAATCAAAGACAAGTGTTTGATTATAAATATAAAACCGACTCTTTCTACTCATTTTTATTCACAAAAATAAAATTAAACAAAACATTCCTGTTTAATAAATCAACAACAAGATTTCCGATAATATTTTAAAGATAGAATTGTCTTTTTTCAAATGGTATGGATCTCCTACAAATTCAACCCATCAAAGATGTTTTCTTTTTCTTTTTTTTGTAAACAACCCATCAAAAAATTTCCATTTCATAGATTAAAAAAAAATGAGAAATTTCAAAAAATATCATTTTTCAAATGCCACTTTATAAAAATACCACACTTTTGAAATTTTTTAAAAAATACCAGTTTTTTAAAAAAAAATTTCGTTATATTACTTATGTTTGGGTTAATTATGTTCTATGAGGGTTTAGTTTTGAGTGTTTAGGGGGTTTTAGATGTCAAAACATTTTTTAGGGTTTAGAATTTTAAGATATAAGTTTTATAAATCTATAATTAGTGGCATTTTTGTAAATGAATACCCCTAAGTGGCATTACTGCAAATGTGCATACAAAAAGTGGCATTTTTGTAATTGCCCCTTAAAAAATCAACGAAAATTCATTTGGCAATTGTTTTTTTTTTTTTTGTTGCTAAAATTCATTAGACAATTGTTGTAAAATGTTTTCATGGACATGTAACTTCAAACTCAAGATTTTATCAAACATACATATTCTTATTCAAATTACACACATGTGAAACCTGAAACCTTTTACACACACATAGGACACATAATATCAACGTACGTACGACAATTAACTATGGATTTTTTTCCCTTAAATCACATGTTCTTATTTATATTACGAGGCAATTGCAAAAATGTCATTTTTAGTGTGTACATTTGCAAAAATGTCACTTAAAAGTGTACATTTGCAAAAATACTACTAACTATGGATTTTTAAAACCTAAATATTAAAATTATAAACCGTAAAAAATGTTTTGACCCCTAAAACCCTCAAAACTAAACCCTAGCTAATACAATATAGTTAACCCAAACATAAATGATATAATGATTTTTTTTTTTTTGAAAATGTGGCATTTTTGCAAAGATTTTAAAAATGTGGCATTTATAAAAGTGGCACTTGAAACATTTTTGAAAAAAAAATTTATATTATAGACATGTGAAATCCTCAAAATCTTTGAACACACAGATAATCAGATCAAGGGCACTTAACGTTCTGACCCGGACCACCATAGAAGAAATGACTCCCAAAATTTGTTCCACTAATTCCTGTCTTAACACTGTAACAATTACCGATCATAAGATTCTTGATATAGCTCGATTTCTTATACCCTTCATCTGCGAAACGTCCACTTCCCATATCCGTGATTGTGTGTCTCGCACTGGTTTGCGCGTAGATTTCGCCTCCCCATTGAACATCTGTTGCTCCATCTCCTAGAATATTGAACAATGATCTAGGCCAGTACCTCATTATGTCGTTGTCATTGATCTTTAGCCACCAATTTCCTGTATTGTGGTCCTGATGATAGCAAAATATTAATTTTAAATAAGATGAAGAGGTAACTTAGGAAACATAATTTAAAAAAAAAAAACTTAGGAAACATATAAGTTTCCCAAAAAAAAAACTTGGGAAAACTGCCTCTAATATATCACATATTGTTAAGCAATTAGCAATTTTAAATTGAACTTAATAAAGTGCTTTTATTTACCAGTTTTGATCAATAAATTTAAAAAAAATACAGATCGAACGTTAGATATAATAGATTCAGTAAGTATAAACTCTTACTTATACAATAAGATACATTTTTACAATTTTATATGTGGTTTTGTACTATTTTCTAGAACTTAATTTTTGGATCTGCCTATTACCTTCCATATAAGTAAGTTGAGATCTAACTGAGCTCCGTCGTATATTACTGTAGGAACCACCTATGGTGTATTGTTTGTTCGTCTGAATAAAACCTTTGCAGAGATTGTAGCATCCTGTCTTTTGGTATCCATCGTTCTAATATACGCATAAATTTCCATAAATAAAAAGGGAAATTAAATCTTAATTTGAAAAATAAAACAGAATTTGAATGTTTAGGATGAAATATGGGAACTCACCGTCCAGTAAACAAATAATCTCGGATTATTATCACCATAGATTTGTGGATAAACCTATAAAATTAAAGCAATAAACGTGATGATGATTAATATTTTTTTATACAAAAAAAAAACTTTAGTCAAGATGAACGACCAAAGAAATATATGACCTGCCAACTAGCTTCAATGGTGTTACGACTAAGGCCAACTCCAGATACAGGCCAAGTCCGAGCCAAGCTAAACTCATTGGGAGCTATTTATGGTTTCCAGATATTTATGGAGGCTTTTGTCCTGAAAAACTTTCCAGCCTTCACACCCATGTACGCATACTAAACCAGCTCAAAACAAAAAAAAACGAGAAAAGTATAACTAATTTTGTGCAAAATATCTAAAAAAAATTGCTTCGATCAATCAGAAAAGTAAACAAGGTCAATGCATAAAAGGTGCACCTCATGGTGAAATATTGGATCTGAGGATGGAACTTCAGGGATGCTTCGGGGAGTCCTTTTACCAAAACTCTCAATGGATTTTGCTCGTAAGATATTTTTTTCTCTTTATTCCGGGCACTCTCCATTCTTTGGGAGAAAAATGCAAAAAACAAACTCCAAGAAATCTTTGTTTCACCTAAAAAAAACCCCAACAAAAAAAGTGGTGATAACTAAACTCCAACTTTTTAATTTAATGCAAATAAAACCCAAATTTTTTATTCTAACGCAAATTAAACCCCAAAAATAAATGTTGTTAAATTTG